ACATATTTATTACTCACTTTGTATTTATAATACAGTCATTTGGTTGTAAAAGAAAATACGTAATCTTACTAATATTATAAACATGGAAGTTTGTGATTATGGATGGATATTTGTTAGTCCTTTACGCAAAAACTACTGAATGGATTTTATTAAAACTTTATAATAATATAGCTTATACATCAGAATAACGTAACGTCTATAAATTTCACGCGGAAGAAACCGACTGCACATATACATACATACCGTATCACATAGGCTATAAGTTATATAAAATAAAGTAGATAATATTGCAGGGAATGTATAGTATCTATTTTATAATGTAGAAACCCTACTACCGAATAAAATAAAGATTATTTCAAGAACTGTAGAGTAGAAACAAAGCTTTTAAAATTTCAGATATTAATCTCAAATATTCTATCTACTCGTAGTTTGAAAACTTTTGCTTTGTTATATTCTGTAAGTAAAAGTCGCTAGATTTAAGTATATTTATTGTTTAGCATTGAAAGCATAATTGTGATCTTTTGATCATAAAGTAAATTTTAGTAAAAGAAAGATATTTATTTTTATTAAATTAATTTTAAGTTTGATGATTTAATAATATTTTTGCTGTTGTCTGTTCGTAATAGAATTGTTTGAAAAAAAAGTAGAACTTAAATATAGTATACACTATTCGTTCGTAAAACTATATTCTATAATAGTTTATTCACTTATACAAGTAAGTATTTCGTCATAAATATTTTTTTTCTCTTTGCAATATTGATTTATATTATAATCTATATGTGTACTCAGACTACATAAAGGCCTGCCTATAGATATATAATAATAAAAAAAAACACAGTATGAAGTATATGTTAATGTGAAAAAGACAAAGTACACAAAATACAAATATAGAGTATGTAAGTAGCAACAGGCACTACAAAATATATTTCCATATGATATCGTATCGTGGTAGTTTGAAGATTGTATTACTATATAATTGATACTCAGTTCCTCCCAAAGTCATAACAAAGAGTAGTTGCAACATGAACATTGTATCTTTCTTTGTAATCTTTATTAAATAAAATGTATTTTATACATATAATTTTTCGTACGTTTGGTATACTTTTGTATTCGTTATTTAGTTCGTTATGTAGTTTCAGCCAAAAAGAATGAACAAAAATATGACCTGTTGCTCTTTTAAACAAATTTATAACTTTACATCGTTAAGCTAAAATTTATGTGAATGCAAATATAAGTAGAAGAGTAAAAATATTAAATAAGTAATTGGTTACCAAAATAAATCAGACACAATCATCAGAGCTCCGCCTATAAGTAGCATCTATTTACAAGTAGATGCAACATAATTTGAAACCACGAAATGCTATTGAATATTGAACTTCTAAAAGGCGGTTATAAAATTGAAATTTGTTTCAGCGAAAGATCCATATTACAACTATATTGCTATACCGTAAATTGTACAATAACTATTAAATACTATGTACGTATATGCGTGTACATATTTTAAATGTTTCAGTAAAGAGCTGGCTTGTAAGAAGCCACCAGTAACATGTAGTGTAGTTAAAACATTGACATAAGATTAGTAGAGTCAGGAAGATATTCTATTAGTATGGATAAATACTTTTTTTTTGTAAATATATACATAATATACATAGAAAAAACCCAGACCCATACAAACAATCATACTCATGAATACAAATGTATGCACCGTGCGAAGAATCGAACCCGCGACCATCGGAAGTAAAGCAGTGTGCCAAACCTCTAGTCCACCGTCGACTAAAATAAAATTAGAGGCCATTTACTTGCTTAAAAAATTTTGACTTTAAATTCCACATGGAAAATGTCAAAACATTACCTACAAAATAACAGGGATTCCACAAAAAGTTGATATACTTTAACATTTTTTCGAATATTGATATCTCAAATCAACATGTTATGAAGCTTATCTTTGTCGATTTATTGGTCCCATATAGCGTACAAATTCAGAGAACTGTAATAAAAATTACACTAGTAGTTATGATACTAGATTATTCCCCGATATACATACGTTTCGTTTTATAGTTTTCCTTTTGAGAAATAAACAATATAGAAAATTAAATAAAACTTCGAAATAAGACTACTTAGGTATATAGTCTTACTAGGTATATAAATAATAATATGACTATTTCTTTATATGTTCATGATAAATGAATGAACACTGAAACTATAATATATCAGAGTCTTTTGTTTGTTAAATGAAACATAGCAATGGCTTTTTAACTAATTATAATACTGAATATTCCAAGTAAGAAATGTAGACATCTATTTTCTAATTCAATTTATTGTTAAAGTATTTTTTATATCATTTCGATAGTGTGTATTTCGCACCAAAAAAAAACACTCGTTTCTAATCGTTTACTTTGTTTATTTAACTTTTTATTCTACTTGTGTCAATTAAATATCCTATTGTGGCCATTTTGGTCATTCGTGTTGTATTAAAAGATCATTTTTCCCGACATGTAAAATTTCTTTATACCCATTTATATGAAAATTATGTTGCTGAAACCTGTTTTGTTGTGCAAAAGTGACATGGACCCTTTGATCCCGGGAACCCTTCATGCCAGGATCGCACCCTATTATCAAAGAAGAAATTTACATAACGTAGGTTAGGTACTATAGGTATTAAAAGCAAAGCGTCAAATGGAATAAAAATCTAATGTAATTCAATCGTTTTTTCCTAAATGCCGAGTTCACGCGGCTTATTCGACTGATATAGGTTTGCATCACTAGGAATAAAATATTTTTGTATGAATATGAGAAACAGTTTTTTTAAATTCTATTATGTTTGCAGATGGTCAATTTGAAGCTTCAATTAAAACAAAACAATTTTTGTTCATTAATATATAGTTGCATCATGGGTCATAATTTTGGTTCACTTCTTAAAAGGGCAGTGCCAACACTTTTAAAAGGTAGTATTTATTGTCCAGTGAACTCATAACCACGTTCTCAGATAAACTGCGTCAAATATAACTTAAGAGTTAATACAAGTAGGTACATATCACAATTTTTGACCTAACCACTAACATCCTGCAATTTTTTTCGGTACCTAATTTTGTACAAAACCATGCATATATATCTCCATAATTTTATAGGTAGAATTTTAAATATAGGTTGTGGTTTGAAAAAGGAAACCACAGCGTATAAAGCGCATAAGGGTGCGTCAAATATTGCTCCTTAATTTTTATTTTCAACTACTTTTAAAATTATTTCTAAAATTTAAGCTATAAGTTAATTTAAAAAAATTTACGGTAGAACTCTTTTGATAAAACTAAAGGCCATGCAACTCTACGAAGAATTTTTAAATATCATGTATTTTAAAAGTAAATATTTCAAAATTCTACAGCTACAATACTTCAAACATTGGCACTATCGCTATAGTGTAGCGAGTGTTATCTTGAATCACAATTGTAAACGATATTACTGCCTACCAATAGCCTATATACCATCTATAAACTACACCCAAATACATTGTTGTTGATTTAGTCGGAAAATTACTTACATAACGTCACATTGGTCGCAAAATCGACCTTATTTATTAACAAAGGCTGCATTGAAAAAATGTGACCGCACCTTATACAGGCGTCAAACATACAGGGTTACCAACCTTAAAACTCTATAATATTTTTCTTCTCTTCTTTTTCTTCATACACTATTATTTCATGGTAAAAGGAGAGAATTTATACTGCTGCTGCACACAGACACACACACATAATATACAACTTCATGCGAACAGTAATTGAGGAAAGTAAGGAACATCAGAATTTAAAACAAAATGTAAAGTAGGGCAAAAGCGTAATTTATAAAAAAATCATTATCATACGAAGAACTGATAAAATATCAATTCGGATCTTCAACCTTATTACATTATAGACCACTTTGACCGATTTTCGTAGGTTAAAATCTTGTACAATCTTATAGAAGGCAACTTTTGTTTTTTTATATATATTAAGAAAACAAAATTTGCCTCCTTATAATATAAATATATTATAATATAGTAAATTGGTTCTCGTAAAAACTCGAGAATCCTCCTGAGGTTGGTATCCCTGTGCACATCACTGATGCGTGCAATAGTTTGTGACAAAAAACGCGTTCCGTTCCAGTGGGCACTACCAACATGACTCTAATTTGGAACGATGTATTGAAAGAAGTTCACAGCAACGTAATGTTTATAAATTTTAGCTTTATTACTGAGACTAATAAAGACAACTACACGTTCATAGGATGAACAGAACCATAGTCAATTGTAGATGCTGTGGTGAACGCAACACTTGACATGGGCACATATTGTTCGATATATTTTGAATACAATATGACAAAGGGTGAGCCTATAACCAATACCTTAATCAGTTTCTAAAATCTTCTATAGCGGTTTACTGATTTTGATGATTATGTTGTCATACATGCTATTTTATTACAATATGTTCTAGATATTAAAAACTGTAATATTGTACTCAAATATATATTTTTAATAAAAATGAGAATTAACTATTAAGATACTAAAATTGTTTCAGATTGTGATTTAAATCTAAATATATATAACTCAGAGGTGACTGACGTAGTGATCTATGAACGCAAACGCCCAAACCACTGGACGAGGTTGAAATTTGGCATGCAGATAGATGTTATGACGTAGACACCCGCTAAGAAAGGATTTTGATTGTTAATACCCCCAAAGGGATAAAATAGGAGACGAAAGTTTATATGAAACTTTGTCAATTTTAAACCGATCGGGCTAAGACTTTGCATGTACAAAGCTACTATGACGTATCCCCTAAGAAAGAATTTTGATAAATTTCATCCCTAAGGGAATAAATTAACACGAGCGAAGCCGCGGGCAATAGCTAGTGAATATAAATGAGCACACTCACATAAACAAGTGTTTATTAATGAAATTTAAAATTTATGTATGCTGTATAAACATTTTATGTTTCAACATTAATTTTTATATATATTTGTTGTTTCAGATTCCAAGATGGCGGATTACAACAGTATTGGAAATCATAGCAACGACATAGAGCCCGCAATGGGGCCTAGTGAACTTTCAAAGTAAGAGGCCTTAAATTTTTCCGGATTTTCTGAAATATATTACGTACACTTTCTTTATCGCGAAGAATTTCTATTATAGAGCATATATCAGAAATAATTTGCTAGTGCCCAAAAAATTGCGTATTAAAGCAATCTATTTTAAAAGAAATTACTTTAATATGCAAATGACGACAATTCGACTACACATATAGGTGTCACTTGTATCTTAATTCTAATATTTTGTGCGAAAAAACGTTAATTATGTTGAAAACGTTAATTAACTTCAAACTAAATATTTTTAGTTATTGTTATTAATGCTGTTACCCACAGTTGGCCTTTACAGCTAGAGCGCAAAGTACCATCCAAACCCTCGTAAATATATATGTAGTAACGGGTGTAAGTCAACTCCTCCCTGATTAATACGACTTTAATCTGAAAGTAGATTCCGTTAGATTTACAAATCTCGGCTCGACAGATGACAGGCATAAATTAAAATTAGAGTCAATTAAAAACTTATCAAGCAATTCAGTTTGCTTTACAAACAAGTTTCTTTCATGCTGACTATTGCAGCTTTTATTTTCTACGTGAATGAAATGTTCAAACAATTCTCATCGTAAACTTTTGTTTTAGTTACGAATAATTAAGTTATAAATACACCGGACGATTATTATGAGCTAAGGGCAGAAACCTTTCCTACTTACAACATCCTGCCCGCTTTTATGCCGTAGCTATTCAGAGGTTTGCATTCAACGCAATTCATCTGCTTTATTCTGTTACAAAGGCATCTAAATCATTTCCAACCGGTAATATTACTAGACCTTCTAGAATAAATGATCCTGCTCTTCCTCTACCAGCCGTATCCTCTTTTGTGTTTTCCTTTACAAAAATTAATGTACTTGTGAAATGAATATTGAATATTTGGTATACAACTTCAAACTACAAGACTTTTTATACTAGAGTGCCTAATGATATCAAATTTGTTATTGGCTTACAAAGCCAAAAAAGTTATAAAAATAGATAGTATACTGTATTTTATAGAAAAGAAAATAAAATTTCAAAAGGAAGGGGAAAAAATACGATCTCGCATACGAAAAACAGCAAAGTATCACCAAACTTACTCATCTATAGTGAGAAATATTCCGACGTGTCACATTTAAATGGCCACACTCTCTAGAGTGTAGATTTTAGTAAAATTATAATATGCTAAGTCTATAAATGTTATATAGAAATTTAAAAAAAATCTGTATTTACGAATTTTAAAAATTAGAGACAGTAAGATTATTATTAAAAAAAACTCTCCTTACTACTAATGTAGTGATTGATGATTAAAGGATCTTATTTGAGGGAAGTTCTATAATAATTATACGAAACGCTTCGTCCTCGAGATTACTACTAAATATCTGTAAAATATATAACGACATGCAGTAACGCACAAGTGACACCACTTTCACAGTATTTGGCCATACTGCAAAAGTGGTGTGGTGAAACGCAAAATATAATACTTATTTTATGTAATCACAAATACGTATACTTTAAACGCCATCCAAAAAAAATTGGTCAACTGCTCCTGCTTGTGTCTGACTGCCTAGAATGTTACTTTAACTTTCAAGTTTTTGTAGGTCTATCGTAAGGATTTTTTTACGGATGATAATGGAATGACCTGAGGTTCTACTAACGATAAGCACTGGCAGAGTACTAGTGAAACATAGCAAGACCGAAGTCGGTCGATCAGTTAGGCTGAAGTAATTAATTGATAAGGAAATAATTACGATCGTTTCCAGAGGCATTGCTTTGTAATGTTCATCAATCTAAAGACTTCAAACAATCAATCCCCAAAATTAGTCATTCTTCAAAGATCTATATTAAATAACTAATATAAATCTATTTGATACCCTTGTTTCCATGTTATAATAACGCGAACTTCAAAGATATTTCTGGTTAAATTATATATATATTACTTGGAAAATAATAATTACGCAAACCTATTATCCAATAAGTAATTATAATTATTAGAGTCTGTGTGCGTGTTTCCTTCAATAAACCGCAAACACGTCAGCATCGTTTGTAATAAAGTTGCTGAAGGACTAAATTAAAACACGTTAGTTATTATGTAAGTGTTTAAAATTCCAAAAACGATGACGACCCAGCTAATAAGTGCAACTGTCGCCTATGATATGAACAGTACTATATAAATATCGTGATGTAGTTACGTGATCTCAGTCCATTACTGTAAATTCACTGACATATCTATTTATTAGAACTCTGAATCAGACAGGTATATATTGTGTGTATATTGACGGCCTGTAGTCTAGCGGTTTGGCACTCCTTCCGATTATCACTAGTTCCGTCCACACAATACCATATTCCAAATACCATTCAATTGTATACCTGTATGTATTTATTCGGGTGTTCCATATATAATATATTAAGTTTTTAAAACTACTACGTATTTATAAGAATCATTGTTATAGAAAAATGAACTTTACATGTTATCCCAATGTACAAATATGATAATATGAGTAGGTATCTACATTATAATAATATTCTTAATGTTCATTTTAGTGTTAATTTGACTAGAGCGGGTACAATATGTATATAGTTTATAGCGGTAACAGCTTGAAGCTTTAATGAAGTGTCTTTGAACAATAAATTTTCATGAAAACAATATTTTCGTACTAGTACGCTACTGTTATTCAGTTGTCGACATCAAAGAAACTGCTACAATATATTTCCAGAATGAAACTCTCTACATCATATAACCGTAAATAAGGTTATAAATAATATCTATTTATTTAGCGATGGCCTCAGTTGTCCAGAGGTTTAGCACACCACTTTACTTCCGATGGTCGCGGGTTCGATTCCTCGCACGATGTAAACACGGTGTTTTCTAATGTATATTATGTATGTATTTACAAAAAAATGTCTGAGTATTTATATCAGTTGTATAGTACTCATAACACAAACTCTGCTTACCTTAGGAGTAGATGACAGTGTCACAGTTTTCGTTCCCATACTCCTCCGAAACGGCTTGACCGATTCTCATGAAATTTTGTGAGCGTATTGAATAGGTCTGAGAATCGGCCAACATCTATTTTTCATCCCCCTAAATGTTAGGGGTAGTCCACCCCTAAATTTTTTTTTTATTTTAAGGTAAAACAACGTTTGCCGGGACAGGTAGTTATCTATGTAGATCTATCTTCAGGCCAGAGAATCTATGACTGCAAATTTATTATTAAAAAATTACGTAAATAATTAAAGAGTCTCGGCAATCAAACAGTACCCATTCCAGCATCTTAAATGCAATGTGTTTTATTGTTTATTTTCCAGGTTCTCACCAGGACTCCTAACCTTCGCAGCGATTGTCACCGGATGCATCATGCTCACAGGACTATTTGGCAACCTGCTCACAGTGATCGCTCTGCTCAAATGTCCGAAAGTGCGGAATGTTGCAGCTGCATTTATAATCAGGTACTTTATACATGTGTTATCTAAGTGAAGTAGTTAAAAAGCTGATGGTAAGTGACAACCATCGCCTATAAGTGAACATGAACAGCACCACAGACATCATGTCATCATGTAACTCTCATGTTACCCATCATACCGCAGGGGAGATCTCTTTTTAATGGTATGTTAAACGCCTGCGCTAACAATTTGCGCTGGCGGAGCACCATTGGAGGATGATAAGATGAGCATGAGGTCAGGTCAGTTAGCCCATCGTAGCAAATTCACCAGGAGTATATCACGATAGTTTCCAGAGGGAACCGTGCGGACATCAACCTTAGATGATATATTAATAGAAATCTCATCTCAATTAAAAATCATCTCCCTCTATGTTCATATACTATACCTCCATACTCTATAATTTCATTTGTAAGCTGAAAATTATTACGAAATTAAACTATATAATTTAGGTATAAGACCTGAAAGTAGCCTTGTGTACTTGTGTATGTAATTTTTCAGTGTTTTTATTTATATATCACAAAAATAGCTTTGTTGTACTCCATTATTGTTACAATAGACATTTAAGATTATATAAAATAAAAAAGCATGTTCTCGTATTATACCTATATTTTAAAATAGATCAATATATTTGGGGATAATTTTGATACACTAATGACCAATGGTATCGCATCCTAAATGATGTACTTTTGCTAAATAAAATTCGAGTTACAATTATGACTAAAGTGGATACCCAATTACTTAATTGGACAAGTTGTTGAGGATCAACTTGAGTAACATACATTAAAAAATACATATTAAAAAGACCGCTTTGTTACATAACAGGAAAAACGACATGGCTATTTATGCAATTATATTAAAATTAATTAACAAAAATACAATGGGGTTTTTAATACAAAATAGGTAAAAACATATCGTATCATTATATATATACTTTTTAAAAAATATATTAATTCAGTCTTCGCAAATACAATATATATATAATTCCTACGCGGGAATAGATACTTTTAATAGACAATAAAAAGATCATGTCAATAACTAGTTCACTGTCCTGACTTCGCACGGTTGCTTGTAATTTTCTGAGTTATGTATACATACATTAAGATAATGTATAGCTTGTGTTACTCTGGAATAATATAGCTTTCCAACAATGTAATAATTTTATATGCTGCAATAGTTTCGGAATTTTACGTAACTAAATCTGCTCTCTCTCTTTTTTTTATATAATTTGTATAGAAATAGGTGCAAAAAATTAAATGTACCTAAGAACACTTCTTCTTTGTAACTGTTTAAAAGATTTTCCACCATGGCTGATGTCTTTCCATTGTATATATATATATAATATAAATTTACAATTTAAAAGAATAATTTACAATACCTTTACTTACTACATATATTTCTAGAATAACTTTGAAATGAGTATGTATGACAATTCATATTGTCGAGAATCATGTCTGAATATTAAAAAGGTATGCAATGTTGCTAGTATGTTATTGTATATAATTGCGTAGTATTAACTAGTACTTACATAGGTCATGCAGTTGGTATTTTTCTATTGTTTACCATAATCTTGCAATTATATTGTTTAGAATATTATTGTAATACGAGTCTTACCTGTGCGTCACAGTATAGATATTTTTTTAGTTACATAATCTGTTATTTTTTTCGTAATGCGGTGGTGAAGATATGAATAATTCAATAATTAACACAGTGTTGTATAGGATATCATAGATTGTTATAGACAGTTGCTCTGTTAAAATCCAGCTATCATTGCCTATGGCCATGCCCTTTGCAAAACCTCTAATATATTATCTGTGAAAATTCTTGCCTGGTAGCGCATCCCACAACTTAACTTCAGGGATAAAACTAAAACTGCTTCGAAAGAATCTGTGAAAGACACAATTTGACACCTATTCAGTGAAACCGATCTATGGGTTGAGATTAGATATTCTATCGACATACATGTACCTACACAAACTTTGGATTAGTTCTATTATTAATCCATTTCCAAACGCAGAAGTTTTTTTCAAACCAATAGCATTTCTCTATTTGTGTAAATCATTGAAATTAATTTCTTGGGTCTTTTTTACTGATAGTACTTCTGTGTTGCTCCCACATTAATTTTATTACAAATAGAAATTTATTTCCTTTTATAAAATTAAATATACTTACCTGCTTACTGCGTAATTGTCTGTAACTTTTTTTATGTAATTACAATTTAGAATGGTTAATAAGCTTACCTCTAACTTAATGGTAAACTATAAACATTACCTATATATGTGAAAAGCACCACGGACATCACATTATCATGTGACGTGCGTGATACACATACATTGCTATTCCGAATGACTAAATGATATTCTTCTAAGCATTGCCTATAACCAAAACTCAACTTACAAATCAAGCTACTTGTTGACTAAAATTGATGAGACTGAGGTACTAACAGAAACAACTTTCTACAAGTCTACCCTGTTTGAATATACCTAATAATAATAATAATCTCAGGACAATTCATACAGCGCCATCTAGACCCAAGTTTAGCTAGCTAAACCTTGTGTTATGGATACTAGATAACTGATACATATACATTGATATATTTTTTTGTAAATACATACATATTATACATAGAAAACACCCAGACCAATACAAACAATCATACTCATGAATACAAATGTTTGTGCCGTGCGAGGAATCGAACCCGCGACCTCGGTTGTAAAGCTGTGTGCTAGACCGCTAGACCACCGAGGTCGTCAATATGTGTTAACATCAGCGCAATATTTGTTATTTTAAAACATATACATATGCTATTAGGGTATATACCAGCCTATTGTTTTAGTTAATGAATAAAACAATGGAATACGATATTGCAAATACTTGGTGAGGTTTTAAAAGCAATTGAATTCATAATTAATACCACGTCCAACACACAACCGCAGTACGACTTGATAAAGTTGGCTTATAAATTCAGGACATTAGAATACCAAATAGGCTTAATAGGTGCCATATGACGTACCATTGATACTTCACGACAAAAATACCTATAAGACGATATATCTATAATTCGTGTTCCATGATTGTCTGGAATGAAGATATCTTTTCAAATGGAGGAATGACGTATATACGTCATTCCTCCATTCCTCCACTCCAACATTCATTTATATAGGTGTTTTATTAGGACATGTATGAGACATTAAGTGGGACAGACAGTCTTGTGCTGTCCCAAACTTTTACCAACAGAGCTTATGTAAATATTACTATGATGTCTGAAAAAAAATGTTGTATAATATTTTCTGTTTGTTTGTTTGTTATTATTGTTATATTTATAGTAAAAATATAATTGTTATTTCTTTTGTTACAGCCTTTGCATAGCGGACTTTCTATTCTGCGTGATGGTGCTACCATTCGCCATATCTGGATTCTGGACTCGAACCTGGTCCCACGGGGGTGTACTGTGTAAACTCGTACCGTTCTTGCGGTACGGTAACGTCGGTGTGTCTCTCTTGAGCATTGCCCTGATAACGCTCAATAGGTAAGTGTAGTTTTAGGTTATAAAACGATCACTACTTTTTATACCTACTTTTCTAATTTAATTACAATTAGTGTTTCTATAAAATAAATAATTAATAGTAACAACGTTACCTGCAACTAGTCTCATCATGTCGCGATGGTGTCTTAAGACTAATTTTAAACAATCTCTTTAGAGTCCTTTTAGAAAAATTTGTTACGGGCATATCGTAACATAATAATAATAGGACTATAAAACTAATTATAAACAAACACTTTATTACTTAACACATGCATACACACATGTGCCTGTAATAATAGATGCTCTAATGAATTAATACCTTATTAAATTCAAATTCAAATTCAAAAATCATTTATTCATGTAGGACATTTAGCCGCTTATGAACCTCAAATTTATACATTCTAATGTTTTCTCTACCATCCAGTTCGGTATATAGATCCAATTGAGAAGAACTGGCAAGCTCAATTGAATTACTTTTTTTGTAAGCCAGTTTATATACAATGTATATTTATTTACTGAATTTTCATTTAATGTCAGACATGGACACCTATGGGTCTATGACTAACATTAAATGAAAATTCAGTGCATGAACAAATATTGCCATGCTCACTCGTCATTCAAGTAATTATTTAGTGAGTAATAGGCTTTGCTCAGTAAATATGATTTAACAGATGTTTTGAATATATTTAGGTACAACTAAAAAGTGACCCATCCTGGCTTCGCGCAGATGCATTACAAATCTTTCAATTTCTCGGTTTGTTGTATACTATAATACGCATGTATTTTACATATAACCCTTCCACTTGTATCACTCCATCTATTGCTGAAAACTGTATTAAAATCCGTTACATAATTCAAAAGATATATATATATATAAGCGTACAGACAGCGGCGGCTACTTTGGTTTGTACTATGTTAAGATGTTTAATTGTAATTGTTCTGGATTAGTAAATTGCAATATTTTCTTATACGAGTATACACAAGTTCAATTATCACTCGCTTAAAAATATCTCAATAAAACATTTTTCGGAACATCGAATTTAATGGAAAAGCTTTAAAGTCGATTTCAGTTTATTATTACCTACGATAATTGGCTTTTCCGCGGAAGCTGGAGATAAAGATAAGAACACGTGGGATACGCTACTGTAAACTATTTGCTCTGGTAGTTTAGCATTGCCATAAATTATGGTCTCATTCATTTACCATTTACGATCTGGCATTATGTCATCACTCGTGACTAATGGTTATAAAACAGTAGGTACCTAGGAATCTACTACGTAAACCATTATATTTTTAAAGTAAAAAATACCTACCTAAATTATACAGGTCCAATATTAGCATAATATGACTCACTACTTATGTTTATACTATCATAATGTAAGTAAATTGCTTTAAAATGTTAAGTGCTGCCGCATACTGGACCACCGATCACGGCGATTAGTGGCTACTTTTAGTTGTCCATTAGATTTTAACTTTTACTTTTAATTTTAACTTAAATTAGACATGAATCCATAGATACTCGTACTAATAATCTAGATGGACCAAACCAGGCCCATTATGGGGACAATTATTAAAAGATTTTCTTTTTATTGATTTTTGACTGCTAATCTGCCTTATTTTTTAGTAATTAGCCTTACAGGAAACCCTACACAAACATACCCTTATATTTACATAAAAGTCCGTCCTAGTCTTAAAGTCTCTTATTATATTCATATCAAATTTTATGAAGATCCAGTTAGCCGCTTAGTTATAAATAACAAATAGATGAACAACACTGACATTTATAATATAGAATGAATTAGTTGTGTTAGAAAGACGTTATAAGACAATACTTGTTACATATAACAACCTAAAATCGCCTGCCGCTACTACAGTTTTAATTCGCTGTGTCAGCAAACGTGTAATATAACGGTCACGTTTATGTACTAATAACTGCTAGTAATGGTAAGTAGTTGGTCTGAGTCACTGATAGTGGAACTAATCATCACTCAGTCTGCAGTAGTGTTTAGTAATAAAATGAGGAAGACAATTAAATTATGTTTAATATTAGTTACTATAACTTTTTAATACACTAATAAAATACAAAACTAACTGTTACATATTTTAAGAATTAAATTAATATCTGTTAAAGCTTTTTAGACGAGAAAAAGTATATAGACAGAAAAAAAACACTGTCTATATAGAGGTACTTTATCTATGTTTTTGTATTCATAACATTAGTATTGATAGTAAAAATCAGCGCAAATTGGTAAACGAATTCATAAAAAGCTATTTAATCGCTAGTACTAGATACGAGGAGACAAGAATACACGGCTGTTTTGATCTTTCCCATACCTATAGCACAGATAACATAATATTACATACCTATGGTAAGGTTGGAAGGATCATCAGAACTTTTCATTTTACCTTATAGAATATACCTATATATGGATGTTTAATTGTATTTGACAATGATGACGTTTAAATGAATAATATCTATAACGTAACCTACATATATTATTTAGCTGTCCCAATTCCCTACTAATTTTAATAGCGAATCAATTTCAAAAGCAGTCCTTGCGCTCCTAATTAAAAGTTTGCTCCAAAGGTAAACATGTTTTGAAAACATAATTAGAACATTCCTGCTCATATTTTTGACTTGGTTATTTGTTGGGGAGTTAACAATCAACTTCAGTAGCTGGAGTGAATTTGCCATCCTTTGTGAGTTTTGCTACTTATAAAATACACGTGTTCTGAGAAATTGTTTGATATGATATTCAACCTTAACCTAGAGTCGGACTAAAATATTAACGCAAGAATAATATACAGGATCATTCGCAAATGTAATTGAACAAGTAAATTTGGAACATGCTTTACTTTATTTTATTTATAAGTTCCTGCATGTAATAACGAGAAAAAAATACACTAAATCACCTTAACTCTGTAACAAGGTCTTTCTAACATCTCTTAAAACACTCTACAAACACTCTTAGTCATATTTTATTAATTTTTTAACATGTATATTGTTATAAGATATCGCAGTCCTTTGATAAAACCTCTTTTCCATTGTCGAGTTGAGGTTCGAACTCCCAGCAGTGCTCTCAGACTTAATTAAGTTTAACTTTTAATTAAGTCATTGGGCTCCCTAATTAGGCTGGCTCGTTCGTCATACTCGTGAACGAGTGCTGCTTGTAGGGATTGGTCTGCTCTTATCACTACGACTAATTTAATCTTATTGTATTTTTATATTTGACCATAATAAATGCGTGCTAGTTGGCAGTTTGTATTCACACGTTTCTGGTAAATGTGAACTTACAAGGATTATTTAAAAGAGCAACACACAAGTTTCTTGCTCGTTCTTTCTGTGATGAGACAGCTTTCCGAATGAGCGGTAGATAAAAAAAAATGTTATGACTATTCTATAGTGCTTAAATTAAGTTTATTTGATTAAATGATTTTCTATTCTATTCTATTCTTAATGAAGGATGCAGTTAGATCACATGATCTATCGCAACATAACTAATTGTAGAGATCAACCTGTTAAAGGTTACATTAATTACTGCTAACAATCATCCTCTTTGTGCAATATGATTTCAGAGGAGCGTCATATTGCAAATATATTGTACAATAAAAATTCACCCGAATCTGTATAATATTTTGATTCTTGTGTATATTATATATTTATATATATTATATATTTAAAGAACTAATAATGTTGTATGAAAAATCGAAAGAATAAATTTTAATACCAATTTTACTTTGACTACAACGAATTCGCAAAAACAGAGAGGCAACACTCTCTGTTAAATCAAAGATATTATTTGGTGGTTGTAAAAAAATAGAAAGAAAGGGATAAAGAATATACCATATTCCTGAGAGAATAAAAGAACCTTTTTTTATCTAATACGAATTGCATACAAGTTGACTGGCCGTCCGATGGTAAGCGGTAGTCGTCATCTATATACTCGTATATGAACAAGTTCGGTCATCTTGTGACACCCGTAATACCGCTCATATGTTACCATTCCATATGATTAAGATATCATGTCTCTTATTCTGTAATTTCATTACCTAATCTGCAGCACCCTACTACCACAGATAACGCAATATTACATACTACTACCGAAACAATTTACAAAGCTCACTTAGGTGAGACTGACCCACGTAGATGACTTTTAATAAAACATTAATATTTATCAATGGAGCTTCATTAAACTACCTTAAAAATATCTTGACCTCATCATAAAACACGTCATAATACTAGCCATCGAATGTGCATTAATACTCGTAAACCCAGGAAATTGGGCAGATCCTATAATAATTTGAAACATGTCATTAGGATGGGTATTAAATTTTAATGGACCGTCAGGTCAGTATTAACAATATTATTCAGTGCTGAACAATACACAGCGAATGACGATGATGGACTTAGTTCGTTTGATATTAAACAATTGTTGTTTAACAATATGTTGAACAATAGAACAATATTGTTGAATACAACCGTCTGAAATCCTGCAGAAAATAAAATATCATCTGAAACAATGGATGGCGGTCGTCCAGCTCACCATACTTTTTACTCTATTCTCTACGACAGCAATGGTATTTCTGTTACAATATTGGAAAGAGCAAGTTCTTTCTTAAATGACCAGCAACTCGCCTCCAAGTGCCTTGATGTTGAAAGAAACTTCTTATTTTTGGTATACTTGACTTATTTAATCCCTTTATACAAAATAAATATAAATATACAATAATAAGTGTCAAAATTTATACTTCATATTTTGAAGCTTCTGCCTTTAAGGATTATAGGATTATATACTAACTTTTACTTCTCTAGCCTATAATTTCATTAAAACACTATTCGTATGAATTCTAAAGCGGTTCCGCAAAATCATATATGAATATACTGAAATTTCTATTAGAAAATCCAATTTTGCGTTAAACCGGTATCATTTGTCATTTAAATTTGCTTTTATATCTAAGAATATGGTATGTTATAGAATAATCACTCTTATGTTCTTTGATTTTAGGTACATAATGATAGCCCACCACAGCTGGTACGCGCGCGTGTACCGCAAACAGAATATTGCACTCATGATCGTGTTTTCGTGGATGTTTTCGTACGGCATGCAGATACCAACCCTTGTAGGGGTATGGGGTGAGTATAATTTAGTAATAATACTTTCTTTAAAAAAAGAAATTAGAAATATTTTAATAAAAAAAATTACAGGCCATTTAATTTCTAAACAACGCAATAGTAAACTCAATTCGTTTATAAGTTTAATTAAAAATAGAATATGTATTCAGAAGAGTTAATTAGAACAGATTTTTTTAGTTATTTTATAATTGAATAAAATATATCATTCAGTATTGCCTTATCTTCATCCCATTATTTGGGGTTGGTATTTTATGCATTTCATCTTTCACACAAGCTATACATATATATATATTGGTCTCTCCAGGCTAATAATGTTCCAATATAAAATTAATAGTTATTAATACAGCTCTCGCCATATTTACAGTAATATTTTGTACATTGAGTTTTATAAGTATCGATTTCAGGACATCCAAGCACTAAACCGTTGGTAGTTGGTAAAGTTTTTTCTTACATTTGCTATACAGTAGCAAATATTATACTTACTGAGTTATTTACGTATCTGTTTATTTGCCTATATCTGACATCAAACAGCAATTCAACTATACATACGGTCTTATATAACGATGTGAAGTATAAAAACGAGAGTCAAATCTGTAGTGGAAAAACAAGAACGTAATTGCAAGTCTTTAGCAAAGCGTGAAAGGTCCTCCATCGGACGTTTTACTTGTACACCAGCTAAAATGTCACTTTAACATTTTAAAAACAATTGGACTGAAAAACGTTTGTTTTGCTATTCACATTATTATAGATAAGGATTAATCTTTTTTTCTTATTTATATTAATATCTTCATTTTGTTCAACCTCCCAGATACCAAAAACAATAAGTCGTCAATCGTCAAAAGAGTTATCTATGGTTGTTATTCTGATCGATAGGTTATTATCGTTGTTATAATCCAATAAGCAAACAAAACATTCAGATAACAATATTAATAAATGGTCAATAATATTGTAAGTATATTGTACTCCCAGGAAATGCTCTTCGATAATAATTAGCCGCTACATTTATATGTAAACCCATAAGTCAGTAGTCCAAGTTAATATGACATTAGAAACTATAATATATTTTCTTAAATTAGTAATAAATATTTGGAAACAAACTGATGTTGTTTTCCTTTGGTAAATACAAACACAATGTAGTATTGGGGACAATAAGTGAGTGGACTGTCTGTGCGAAATGAATTTAAAAATGTATACGAATTATAGGTACCAACAGTAACAGTGAAAAGTGACAATAATATATGATGACAAATCGAAAAAAATACATTCAAAATTAATTAAAACAATAAATGTTCTATAAATGTGCAAAGAGTTTACAACCAATCATAAATAAATTTTAATTTAAATTTATAAATTTACCTATCTACTACTTTATTATTACATTTCTTTTACAATCAACATACCTATAATTTTGATAGATTATTATATATTTTTTTATCTGAGCTATTTAAATAATTAATTTCCAAACAACGATGCCCATATATTACTCAGAATACCTGAAACTGTTCCATGTATTTCCTACGCCACCGGGAGAAATGAAATACAATTGAGACTCTAATTATTTTTACTTGCATGTTGACTTGTACTTGGATCTATAATACGGAATAATAAACCTCTCTGCTACCAAGTGCTCTAGACAGCTCAAAGAGCAATTTTATGAGTACCGCTCATAACTTTGAGTTTTGCATATGTTAATATTATTTTACTTTGGTATAATGTAATTTTCAAACAGTATATTTTATGTAATTAGCAACAAGCTAAAGAAACGACCAGAAAAAAGATGGATGGATTGTATGAAAGATGATATGAGAAAAAGGAGAGTATGCTCAGATATGACGGCCGGTAGTGATCAGTGGCAAAGGATGACATACTGCGCCGACCCCTAATAATGGGATAAAAGCAAGGCAATGATGATGATCTATAGATTAAATAACTTACTTATAATTGCAGGTAAATTCGACTACGACCCGGATCTCGGCACGTGCTCCATAATACCTGATGACAAAGGACGTACATCCAAAACGGCTCTCTTTGTGATCGCCTTCATTGTTCCCGCTCTACTCATCTTCATATGCTACGCTAGGATATTCTGGGTGGTGCACAGGTAAATTATATTTTTATTTATTAAAAACAAAAGAATTGTTTTTAATTTGATAAGGTCATTATTTATACGTACGATACCATGATTTTCTTAATTGTACTTATAAAAGAACAATTTCCACACAGAGCCACCAGTCGCAAAGTCAAAAAGCACAAATTATTATTGGTACTAAACATTACAAGTTGTGCTTCGTGGTAATTGAATCTATGTCTAATCTATGTATACTGAACTGGACGGTACGGAAAAATATTAATGCGAAAAATTTTAAGTTTATAAGCGGCTAACATGTGGCTAAATAAATGATTTTTCATTTGATAAAAATACTTTTTTTTACCAATACATACAAACTTCTTTATAAATATAAATGATTACATCTTGCGACGAACCGAAACCTGCCACCTCCGGAAGTAAGGTGGTGTGCTAAACAGCTAGTAAGTAAAAAATACTAGTTATAGAGATATTGAAAAATCTTACGATCCGTCTGTGTTTACAAAGTTTCGTTCAAATTTTGATCAGTTGTTTAAACACAATTGATTAACAATAATCCGAATATCTTCACAAACTTTCACATTTATAGTAAAATTTATAACAATTTTATTTATAGTAAATATAACATTCTAAAAATAAGTTTGAAACGTAAACACTGACGGATCATGTTATTATCGTAGATTAATATTTGTAATTTATATAGCTTCTATTATTTGAAGGTTGTTGACAGTTGGAATAGTAATTTAACTGTAATTAAATCGGGAGACACTGTCCAAATTCATTCATTTATGCGTGGGTACCTCAGACTCACCTATTTCAACCGCCAATCATCTTGCTATGTAAGTGGTCCGGTTGAAATTACAGGTCCTATATCTTAGTACTCCGGAAAGGCAACGCCTGTTTGGTATCGAACGTACAACTTTGTGACTTTTGTATATATTAATACGATCTGTATTTTACTGCTATTGTAAACGCGGATCTTTGTGAGTGTAGATGTATGATTAGATGGATGGATTTTTGTTACTCTTTCATGCAAAACTACTTATATATCAGAATAATACATAGGCTCCAAACTTCGCGCGGGTGAACGCGTCTCACCGCGGGCACAGCTAGTATAGTAATAATAATAATATCTTTATTTACAAATATCTTAGTACAATGTTTTACCTTTAGTCCCGACTTTCGGAATAGGTAAACCTGTGCATAGAAAGTCAATTCCTTCTAGCCATAGTACAAACATGTGTAATGTCTAAATATTTGTAGATAGATATATACCTATATACATACAGGATATAAGATACACATATATATTATTATGTGTATTGTGTCACTCTGGAAAATATATCTATCAAACAGAAAAAAATTACGATACAGTGATTTTGAAGTTTATTTATCTCAGAATAAAAAATCGGCTCTATATAGATAATACAAAGTCAAAAAATGTTATTCAAATATTCAGCTCAGAGCGAAGAATGCGTGAACATCAAAGATCGCAACATGCAAGCCCTGGCACATTGAACAATAGCACCACAGACAAGCGATCCACAATAAAGGATAACCGGGAGACGAAAGCCAAGCGGAATGAGTGGAGGATCACCAAGATGGTGCTAGCTATATTCTTGTCCTTCTTAGTGTGTTACCTCCCCATCACCATAGCAAAAGTGGCCGATAGTCATGTACAATACCCAAGTAAGTATTACTTTTACATGTACATTTTAATAATAATAATAACCCTGAACAATTGACTCATTGCCATCTAGTTCTAAGCTAAGCAGAGGTCGTGTTATAGGTATTAGATAACTGACTAAATATTTAAGTACATTTTTTTTATAAACAAATGTCATACTGAAATATAGTTAAATACATATTATATACTTAGATAACACACAGAAAATCAATCATCAAACATCAAACCATCGGAAATAAGGAGATGTGCTAAACCGCTAGGCCTAAGTCAATGTTCTTATATACCTAAGAGAGAGTATCGTGAAATGATGACGGGGCGTATTTATTTGTGTTAAAGTTTCTTGTAAAATCAACTATTATGTGAAACTTTAACGGGATAACAATTTCGTAGAATATGTTTTTAAGTGTAGTCATTAGTAGATCAATATATACGCCAGAGAAATGTGACAAAAATTGCCTAATAAAAAAGAGGCAAAAATAAATAATTATTTTTAAATTTAGACATTTCTTCCAACTATCTATAACGCTAGTGTTACCCAATTACAAATGTAGATATCTATTTTATATGTTAGCTTTGCTCATATTGTCTCTATTATTATAACAGTAATAATAACATTATATTAGTAATGATGTTATTATTACTGTTTTTCAAAGTACAAAATATATAAATGTATATATATATATATTATAAATTAGTATTTTATACATAGTTCCTATATCCGATTATGTTTTGCAAAATGAGGCGTACAACATTTAACATGTCAAAATAATTATTTTAATATAAAAATTAATAGAACCACTATACGACGGTAAGTACAAAGGTATTAACAGCCACTTTTGTTAACCTATTTTATCATTGCTTATTAATGATATTTTACGACTTCAGGAAACTACAGTTTGTCGTGGAAAATGTGGAGTATCTAAAAAAAGACTGAAAAATTGTGGCCCTGAAGTGAAGTTTAGCAGTATAACTTCCTAATCTTATAATCTTGATATATTATACTACTCAATTTTCGTACTTATTCGTATACGGCTCAAGTTTCACTATCTACCGTCATTTATTTTTGGGTCGGGCTTATAAATGAAACTTTACAGAATTGGATACATCACGCCTAACCTCAAGTCAAGATAGGAACGTCACTGAAGGAAAGAAAGAAAAAATATTTATTCAGTTGTTTTTATTTACAACATAAACAGAAACAAACAAAACAAAGCATAAAATAAAATGTATATATAATCAAGCCTAATTAAACATAGATAAACGTTAATTATATGTGACCTAAAATATATAGGAATAATTTGTTACTGATTTTTTTTTTTTGCATGTATATTATTATATATATATTTCGTCATTAAATGTGTAATTACCTCAAAATCTTTATTTTTTAAAATAATATGAGTTAATTTGTATGAAAATAGAGTGTAAGGACGTTATGAAGTGTTTTTAGCACGTTAAGGACCGCATTGAAAAATCTTATTTCTCACATAGGGACCGGTATTCTTTTTATTGTTAATTATGTGTATTCTTTTTTTAATATGTTTTTATTGTACCTACAATAATTTATGGTGGACTTTATTTTAATTAAACTGCCCACGGATGATCGATCACCCCGGTCCCAACGTGTTAATTTACTGCGGAGTGACCCACCGGTCACTCCGCAACGACAGTGTGGTAGGGCATGTGGTCTTTAGCGTGTTAAAAATCAGTCGTCTTGCCTATTCCACAGTATTCCATATCGCGGGCTACCTGTTGCTGTACGCGAGCGCATGCGTAAACCCGATCATCTACGTCATAATGAACGCGCAGTACCGCGCCGCGTACGCCGCCGCACTGTGCTGCCCTCTGTCGAGGCTGCCAGGTCTCACCAGCGGTGCGTATCCATCGTCGCCCGTCGCATGCCAACCTAAGAAGTCGGAGAGGACTTCAGCACTCGCCTCCTATATCAGAACGTGAAGGTATCATAACATGATAGTGTTGCTGCGAGGTGGTTGGACTTACTGGTTTGGGTGCTCTAACTATAATACTTACAAATGGATTGAACAGTAATGGCACAGAGGATTATATAGAAAAACTACTTTTATTCGCATTTTATTTATCTATATATCTATATAAATCTCTACCAGAGGACTAAGATATTATGCCACATGTCCTGTAACTTTACTACCCTACAGCCCTTCAACCGAAATAACGAAGTTGACTTTTACAAACTCAAATCAAAGTAAAGACACAGTTTATAAGATATTGTAGAGTATGAAAGTAGGTTGTGAAAAGTATAAATATAATAATGATAAAAATTAAACTAGTGAAAGTATAATTATATATAAAAGTCGCAGAAAACAAAGATGCAGATATTGAAAGATTTGTTGACACATCTATCAAAAACAAATAGTTTGTTTATTGTCTAAGAACGATCGAGTATCATAAGACAATGCATGAAAGTAAATAAAGTAAGGTATACAAGTAATATAACAATAGAGTATGTAAAGATTTCCTTAAGCACCGTTTTCTCTATAGCTCTACCTCGTAAATGCTTCAAGATATACTATTATTTCTCAAACAAAATGTCTGATCTAACCCAGAGGAGTTATTACTTTTTAATTTCTAATTTAGCTATCAATTTCATTAGTTTACATAACAACGCACATGAAAAATATAACCTTCCGGGACGATGGTTAATTAGCTGTGTCTGGTCGATCGTAAGGACGTGACCAATTAAGCTCTATAATTTTACTTTGATGAAACTTTATGGAATCATACCTGTGTCTTGAATGCTAATTATTTTATATCAATAGCGATCAATAATATTAGTAGATGGAAGTAAAATTCACGTACCCTATATAATTAGTACCTACACTTGAAATTATAGTTAGCAACAGCTTTCTTAAATAATAGGTCATCACAGATAAAGGAGGTGGAGGAATTAAACATTAAGAAACTAACGTTTCCTTGCTACCGTTTTGATTCCTAACTCAAAAATAATAATAACTTTATTATGGCGCCTCACTTGGCTATACTTTTAGTGGAAGTCAAATAATATAACTACTTCTTTATATCCTATTCGCAACATAACTTTTACTCATCTTTCTCGAGTACATTATTGTACTCGATAATAATAATAATAAAAAAATATGGGTATTTAATAAAAAATAATTTAAAAATATATATAAAAAACTATATTTTGATGACTATATCATAGCATTAGTTATAGTTCAATATTATACAAATTATACACGCCAATTACCTGTTCATTGCCAATTTAAGTGCATCTTTTTCACAAATCTTATCTAAAAATAACTTTAAAATTGCATGCTCTTAAAGCTTTGTTACCCTTTATCGACGTTTGTAACTGTCGCAGAATTTTAACAGCGTTCTATCTAACGCAATTTATGAAAGTTTCGCTCATTAAATTTGCATATAAGCATGTTGAAAATCCAAGCATGTTTGTTAAGGAAAATCATGGAATGTATATATATATTAAGTATATAAGTTAATAGTCTATTCGTAAGATTTTAAGATGTCCTTTTCTAAGATATATCGTTAGAGATATGTCCAAGAATTCAATCAAATTTCAGAATGCAACCAGCTCCGGTTTCACACGGGTTATTTCAATTAATTTGACACTAAATCTATAATAACACATACACACTTAAGTAAAAATATCAATTTAGTAGTCTTTGAGAATATGGCGAATATATAGACAGAGATGGCATCTTTCATTTATCATCTTTCTTCTATAATATGTAGGTAAATACTTCAAGCTGTCGTTAAAAATCATTAAAAATGCTCCCGTTTATTTATTTTATTTAATATTTTAGTATGGTATACCTACGATATGAATCCGTACATATTTTTATAAATTTCAGTTATATGTCTTTATTGTTTATGACAATATTTATAAATTAGTATATTAGAAACAGTTAGCAAGTTAGACTAAATCAATACTACTAGATATTCTGTGTTAAATCTCTACCCATTAGACTAGATTAACTTTGACACAGTCAAGTCAAACTTGCGCTATCTATTCTAATATTGTTGTAACTTAGTTGAGAATAATGTAGTAAATTACTTAGATAATGAATTCTGGAAATCCAATAAGAATTATAAGTACATGTTTATGGTTTAGCCTTTGTTTCGTTAGGCGTTAAATTCATTTATTCAGTTACATTTATTAATAATATATGTAGAATAAACCAGAGGATTAGGTATACGTCGTACTTCCCGGAAAAAAATGTCACCTACTGAATCGAATTATATTTTTAAACAATCTAGAAATGCATTGAAATATATACACAATATTTCATTCAAATCGGACTAGCCATTTAGAAGTTAGGCGACAAACACACAATAGAATTATATACGTTTACATAGTATAAAATAAAGCTGCCGTTTCCGTCTGTACGCTTAGATATTTTAAACTACACAACAGATTTTAATACAGTTTTGAGAATAGATAGAGTAATAGTCGTTAAAGTAAATCAGAGGAAGGTTTATATCTATAATACTTGCATATTATTGTATAGAAAATGAAGGGTCAACCACACATGTCTGCATACTGTGCAATATACAATTGCCGACACATTCAATTTCACCTCATAATGCATTTCACCTCATTACACCATTATTAGCATTCAACCAAGCGGTGTTATTTAGCAAAAACCCCTTATCAATCAATAAATCACTATCATTGTCACAGAACTGTGTACTTAAACCCCCACAGAAAAGTTCTGTAATACACCTGGTGGGTCGCTAGTATTAAGATAAACGACAATTAACTAGTCCTTCATTGGTTTTAGAGAAATGGAACGAGCGTCACGGGTACAGCTTCAGCAACACACGAACGGCGCTCAGCCAAGTGTCACTGGGAGAGTCGAGAGCCGACCCACGGGGAGCCCCGGGCCCGGGCGGCAGATAGGTCCCAAACCAATAGGCAATGGGTCCAACGCACTGGCTTCTTCTAAATCTGGGCCAGTGAAGAACGGCGGGACTAATTCTCCATCGAAGCCGGCCGCAGGAAAACAAGATCCTAAAACCGGATCGTTACGACCCGTTGGGTCAAAAACCGATTCTCGAAACAACAGCCAATTCTCAGATTCACAGCGAAATGGAACTAAAATTGGGTCAAGGCAGAATGTTGGGGAAAAAAACACGAGATTTCAAATTGTTCATTACGATCAAAATGGCATTACGCGAATTTACACTTAGCGATTTATCGCTCGTTGTTATGACATACATACCAAAGAATTTTAATTTAAGATTTTATTACATTACTCCGTCTAGAGTGAAATATAAGTATTGTTTACTTATTTTTATTTTATATTAAAATTGTATTTGACAAGTAAACTTAAAATAAATAATATCCGTCCTACTAACGAGCGATAAATTACTATGGAATAAAATAAGTTATGTAAATAAATATTATTATTAAGTATCATCCTTATGTGCCTTCTAATAGATACGATAAATATATAATTATGTTTTACAACCATACTAACTGACTCTAACTGTTCGGAGTTGTCTATAAAAGTTTGTTATGTTCTAAGTTGGACAAAATTATATTACAACAAGAAAATATATAGGTACTATTTACAATCTTTTATTACACTTACGGAATTGCTGTACAGAAACTGTTACAAACAAAAATAAATAACAACCCGAATAATATTTTATACAAATTAAAATATTTTAAATTAAATATTTATTTTTAAAATAAAACCATAGTATAATATCATAAATGCAAAAGTGTGCCCATTTGTTGTGTTTGTTATCTTTTCATGGACACACGGCAGAACGAATCTTAATGACATCGGTCGGCAAGATACATTCTATAACAACGACCATACATAGTAGATACATATTTTATCTCAATAAAAGTAGACGAAACCACCAGAACCTGGTAGTGTCTAATGAAGTATAGATATCTGCACGAAATATCGAAAAATAATATTTTGCTATAGTTATTTAGAAAATGGAATAACTTTCTCTAAGGGCATGAACCTTCTTAGAACCCATAAGGATTTTTTTGTGTCTTCGACCTTTCTTGAGAAATTGTTTTAGTTTAATATATTTAGTATTATTACAGAATATATATTTTCACTGTATTCTGAATTGTTATGAGAATTTTTACAACCTGTACCTATACGTCTGCGATATTCAGTCTATAGACTTGCAATTTTTTTGTAAACTGTCTTGTTCTATAAATCATATTTACTGTAATTCGCGTATACAGAATGTTATTTATTTTGTACAAAGCATTCCTTATATTCTAGATTGTAAGTCTGACAGGTGATAAAACATTCCAAATAAATATATGCGTACTTTAGTTGTATTATGACCAAAGACGAGATACCTATATTGTATAATTTAATTCATCGAATACCTAAGTAATTATTAAGTACCCATTGTGAATTAATTTTAAGTCCCATGTTGGGCGCCATTTGCAAAATAAAGCAAAATGGAACTTTAAAAAAAAAATGTTGACAACAAAATACGATTATTGATTGATCAAAGAATGTATTCACAGGTACTTGGTACATAATATTTCCGAATAGGTTGGCCAACTCTGCTAATAAATTTTTAAGATTAACATCATGTAGAATAGAATCTATAAATATAAATTAAAAGTTTTTTACAATAATAAATTTACATATCTGCTCCTAACTTCTTATATTAGATTTAAGTTTCAACTTACAAAGTACGTCAACCAGCAAATATAACATTTGGTGCAACATGAACACGGCAAACCCAAAATTGTGGCCGAAACATTATTAAAAAAAAAATATGGGTTTGCGCTTGGTCTTACCTCATATGATGGTAAATGATGTCAAAATCTCAAAATCAAAAAAGAAGAAACTATTCACCATTGGCTTGAAGAATCCAGGAAAAGAAGAATTAATATGTACCAAGATTATTAGCAGTTGGCAACCCTATTTATCAATTATATTACTCCTACGTTTAAACTCAATTACTGTAAACAATATATAAAAAAATTGAAGTATAATATGTATTACCAAATTGAATATGGTATAAATATTTTTAAATTATTACTTATAAATTGTATTAAAATGCCATAATAATTTTAAGCAATAATGACCAATTATAAAATCGAGATTAAGAAGGTATGTAAATACGGTAAGGTATGTAATTATGTAAGTGCCCCTATTTATTTTTCAGAATGTTGAGAATAAATTGTTTTTAAAATAAATTCAATAATGATAATATTTCATGTTTTTTTTCATAAAACCCCAGTTTATTTTTCAAACTATTCTAAAGTAGTTGGCCGTAGCTGGTATTTAGGTACAGCTTCAATGGATGAAAAAGGCTGCAAGTGCCAAGGGCACTCAGGCAAGCCTGCAGGGTAATTTATGGAGCAGACCAACTTCTGACGGAGACGACTTCAGTCTGAGGGTACAAGGTTTAAACCTCGGCTCGGAACGTTGAGGTCGTCTGTAAATGTAAATAAAATTGGAGTACCTATCTGTTTGTAATATTGATATAACCGTTTTTTGTCTGTCTGTCTATTTGTTCCGGCTAATCTCTAAATTTGGCTGCACCGATTTTGACGGGACTTTTATTGGCAGATAGCTGATGTAATAATGAACAACTTAGGCTACTTTTATTTTAGAAAAATAAAGTTAAATTTCACGCGAACGAAGTCGCGGGTACAACTAGTTATAAATAAATATCAAAAGAAACAATCAACTAAATTAGTTAAACACTGCTAAGGATTTTGAAAAAAAATACTTGTTTATAATATTACAAATTTGATTTGATAGATGATGTCTAAGCACAGTACAAACTTGATTAAAAAAAGTATATTTTAATATTACAGACAACATCGATTCTGAATACTTCGAGTAGTGCTAAAATGACTTACATCCAGAGTCGTACAAGATATTTAATAAAAAAAGGATCTGTCAGTTCCGTTGTCAATGCGTCATTCTTTCAAATTATCAATTTATTATTTATATTACAAGTCGGCGAAGCTTAAATATATTTGTTAATGTATTACTTGCAATTAAATAATAACAATATTTTTAATGTAATTAGTATCCATATGGATTAATAAATATAATTTTATAAATATCTGCAAATCGAGTGATATTTTTTTTTAGAAATAAGTGCTAAACTACAATCATCACCATGGATGATGTCGGTAGCGAAATCGGACAGAAAATGCGGGTAAATGTCCTATACATATTTATTATTTATTTAATATAATAGATTTCTAGTAAACTATAATAATCTAATTAGCGGATTAGTTATAACTTCCACAAAAGTATTCAAGTCAATACATGTATTTTTCAATCAATTTTCTGTGCATTTGCAATAAACTATTTAAGACATACGTACATAAAACATTTATATTTTCTATAATAGTAGGTTACATGAGTATTTTACAATATAAAAACACTATAGAATGGTACATAATCTGCAATATTAATAGAAATATATCATGACGATGAAAAATACCACTCAATAATGTTAAGAGTGCAAATAATTCACTTCTTTAGAGCAGTCTCTTAAAAGATAAAACTAGAACTCTAAAGGTATCAATATACTAATAAATTATCAATATACTAGAAGACATTTTTTAATAACCTGTAAACCAAGCAGGATATATAAATCTTATTAATATTATAAATGCATTTGTTAGTATCGATGCATGTTTGATACTCTTTCATGCAAAAGGTACTGAACTGATTTTGATGGAACTTATTGTAATATAGCTTATCATCATAATACATCATCACATCATAATAACACAGGCTAAAAATATCAAGCGAGTGAAGCTGTGGTCACAGCCAGTATGTCATATTTATATATCCTGCTTGGTTAACATTAGCATGTAAACATTATCGGGTATGGGTAGATATCTGATATCAACCTTTAGGAAAACATTTTAGGGACAGGAATATATTTTTTCTATTATAAACAAAATTTTAGTGTAAATTTTCTTTTTTCTTTATAACACAAATAAGAGTATATTCCTTCTTTATACTAGTAACAGGTTAGCATAGAGAATACTTGTTGCATATGATCTATAGGTATATAGACTTATATATTTTAAAAAAATATTCTGAAGTATTAAGTTTTTACATGATTACTCAAATACATGGTGTGATGGCCATATCTTTTTCATAATTATATATTTTAAATGTGTATAAGGACAATATAAACCACAACATTATTTTGTAAGTTGTAAAGTCCAAAATTCCTATTTGACATTAAATGTAATTACTCTAAAAACCAATTTAGTTATTAATTGTTTTAATAGCAATGCTTATTATTAGACATATTTTACCATTATTTAAATATAAATTTCTTAATTATAGATATAGCAGTTATCATGAATTATTTATAATACTTAATGGGAATAAATATCTGAAACCTAAAATACATAGTATATTATGTTATACATATGAAGAAAATTTGTGTAACACTAGCTATTCGCCCCGGATTTGCACAGGTGTAAATTAATTATAATAATAATAATAATATCTCAGGACAATTCACACAGCGCCATCTAGTCCCAAGCTAAGCAGAGCTTGTGTTATGGGTACTATATAACTGATATATGGATACATTTATACATACATGGATACATTTTTTTTGTAAATAAATACATATTAGAAAACACCCAGACTGATCAAACTATTCTAATTTGTATTTATGAATATGACAAACAATCATACTCATGAATACAACCCAGATATCGAGCCCACAATCATCGGATAGTAAAACAATGTGCTAAGCCACTAGACCACTGAGGCTGTCATAAATTATATGTATAAACCTCTTGAATTTCTCTATTTGTTGCTAAAATTTGGAATAAATTCCATTGCATAGTTTAAAAGATCTAAGCGAATAGACAATGTAAGCAACTTCTTTTTATACTATGTAACTATATTCATTTGGTAGCTGGCATATCATCATAATATTCCCGTCCTACTGATGATCTCATGATCATTATTATGATTGTATGGTAAATAATGTGTAATCTTGTTTGTCCTTTGAATTCAAAACAAATACATGCTACAGACTACAGTAAAATGTAGTCAGAATTACTTAAGGGTACTGATACTGAGTATGTTTTTACAATGGCATCTGTAGTAAAATAGATGACAACCTAAACTTGCTAGTAATTTTAGTTGTTTACTAATTACCTGCTCAATCCATCATGCAATGGAATTCTGCACCGTCTCATATTACTTCATTTATGATTTAAGAAATTAATTTAAAAATCAATAAAGATTACCTTTTTCTATAAAGTAGAAATAATAAAGAAGAATTCCGCTTACTGCGCTCAACAGGATCCATAATTAACCTACTTTAAAATATACCTATAATAAATCTATCTATCTACTGTAAAATTATGGAATGCAAAGCTACAATAAATAAATTAAATAAATAAAAACATTAATAATAATTCTATATTATATGTATGTATTTACAAAAAAAACACATCTATTAATTTATATTAGTTGTCTGATACCCATTACACAAGCTCTGTTTAACCTGAAACTAGATGGTGCCATGTGTATTGTCCTGAGACTTTATTATCATAATTATAATAATTGAATATTTATGTAGTTTAGTAAACAATGTTGATATTGTCTGTAAGTATTAATTTGTTTAAATCTATCTTATTAACTGTTGTGTTATATTTTTTCAGTCCGCAATCAAAGCCAAGTTGACAGAACTAGGTTGCTACGTAGGTAAGTGCAACTACCGTATTCTTGCATTAGGCAACAATGATTTTTAATTATGTAATGTCATCATATATCATTTCTACCATCCATCATCATCATGGTAACATCCAAGCTAATGCAATATTGAAATCAAACTTGTTTTATTGAAATTAAAACTTGAATCAAAATTGGTTTGTTGATGTAAGAATATTATCAACAGACTATTTTTTAAAACTTTTCTGTAGAGTAGAGTTGCAACAAGAATGTATACTATCATTCGTTGTCCTACCTTTATGGGAAAAAAAAATAAAGTAGACTTTAATAACCTCTGCTTGTTAGCCATTGCAGTTATATCAAAAATACTATTTTTGTCAATTCTATTCATTTCTCAAGAACTTTTTATAATTAATAGTGTTTATCAAAATATTTGTCTTTACTTGCAAAGCCTTTTTTTTATGGAAGAAGACATTCAGTGTATCAGCACCAATTCTCAAATCTTTATTTGTGTAATCAATTATAATCACGAATTGAAATAATTCTAAGCATATCAAATTGAATGCTAATTGAACCACGGGAATTGCGAAAACTTTAAAATCGTTACTATCTGCTGTTTAAGAAATTACATCACATAACCTTGATCAAAACTTATTACAGTTCCAATTTTTTTTTCCTTTTACAATTTTGTAAACACTCCAGTGGCCTTAGTTTCCACCATTATATTCACTTCACAGTGTTAAAGAAGTCGGAGAACCCTGCGTCTTATTATCGTTATTGAAATAGAAATTTATATCTATATAACTTATTTTCAATTCTTATTATTTAATTTTTTTTCTTATTGTATTTTTTCTGGGGAGACTGAGATTTTTATTAATAAGGACAAAAAAAAGTATTGTCGCACTGCTAAGTACCTTTACTTAGCAGTGCCACAATACTATTTTTTCATTCCAAAGTTTTATAGAAAAATATTATTAATTTTTAAGGGGGTGTGTGTAGTATAAACAAGCCTTTAGGGTTTAGGTCTATGACGTACCTCATCGAGAATAGAGGAGCTTGAAATGATTCAGTCAAGAGACAGAATAGAAGTGTGTATTTATTAAAATGTTTTTTCATATTCTTACATAATGTTAAAAAATTGTAATAAATTGTTTTTAGATGATGAACTCCCTGACTATGTCATGGTAATGGTCGCTAATAAGCGCACTAGGGCACAAATGGAGGATGACCTCCAGCTATTCCTCGGTGACAATACAGAGCTGTTTGTGAACTGGCTCCATCAGGTGCTGAAGAAACTACAGGAAGTCACCGTCACTGCACCTTTGAGTATGTATTGTAACTTACAAATTAAAATATATTTGGTAATGTCCAAGTGTTGTCAAACCGTTGCATAAAAGAATATGTGGATTATTTTTAATACTACCATTTAATATTTATACTATATTCCAGGCAAATAAATACATTAAATTTCATCTCACTTATCTATGCTTATATGAGATACCCATTAGCCTATTATTCGTGAGAATAATAGGCTAATAGGTAGCAATGTGAGTTGGTCAAGTGGTTTGAAGATTTTTAGGCCCTACCTATTTAATGTCCGATTGAAGTATCAATAAATTATATACGTCATAAATGTATTCCAGAATCAATGGAAAAAGAAAAATCATTAACTAAGGAACATAAATCAAAAGATAAAAAAGAAAAAGGAAAGAAAAACGATAGTTTGAAGAAAGCCAAAAAGAAGGAGAAAGAAAAAGCACATCGAAAAAAAGAGGAAAAGAAAAATAAGAAAAAGAGTAAACATCATGAGATGATTAGGCCAAATATACCACCTTTGTTGATGAACATGGAAAAAGAGTCTGAACCCTCCATAACAGATGTATTTGCTGGTCAAATTTTAAAAAATCATGGTATCAATTTAGATACTCAAAAAGAGGAACTGAAACATGTAGATAAGAAGCCTAATATACAAGAGCTGAAGCGCCCTATATTACCTATAATTGATCCTGCATCAATTTCATCACAGGTTGACCCAGATTCACCTGTACCGGTTACTGTACATGAAGGTCAGGAACTACCTAACACAACCAGCGTGTCTATAGTGGAAACACCAAGAGACGAGCAAATAAATGAAATAAACGAAATTGAAGCTAAAATTCAGGGTTTAAAGCAAAAATTAGCAGAGCAACTAGATTCTATGTCTGACGATGAGGATTTTTTAAATATAAGAACTGAAGCTGAAGAGTTGATGAATGATTTTGCTGAAGATGTTTTTCAAGTAAGTAGCAAAAGCTCATTGTGAATTCAATGAGAAGTTTATAAAATTGTTTTCTTAGATATATATGTTGCCTTGGGAGTTGTTAAATTGTATTTGTTGTTGTTTTAGGAAATATCACAGCAAACTCCAGTTGATACACCTTCATTGAACACCAGTAAAGCTGTTTCCCCACCTCCCCCTATTCCAAAACCTCCAGAGACTACCATAAATCCTCCCAAAGAATCTCCTATTGAAATTCTACCACAAATTGAACTGAAGCTACCGAAGAGGCCTGTTAGAGAAAGACTGGGAGCTCGTGAGGAACCTAAAACAGTAACAGAAGTAAAAGAAAAAGTAAAGGAAAAGGGTATACAAAAACGGACAGACAGTCCTGAAAGGTTATTAAAGCTGTATAAGGTAGTAAGAAAAGAGCGTTACTATATTTAGTATATTTATATATTTTCAATATAGTTTAGAACATTTACTGAATATACCAAAGTAGTCAAGAAGTTTGATGAACTTCTTTGATTAGGAGTTTTAATCAATTTTTCATATTCCTAACTTCTATATGCTTGCCTTCTTTATGCTCTATTATTATATACTTTCGTGTATTATTATATTGCGTCCATATTCACTTAAGCATTATTACTAATTAGCTGACTCGGTAAACGTTATCCTATCTTAGTCAATGCTCCTACTGTGAAACGCGTCGTCGTTAAATTTTCTGAGGTTTTCCAATTTGCTATGTAGTTTTCTTAATTATTTGCCTTTAGAACCTTCGTATTAGAAAATAATAAAAAATAAGATAAATTACAAGTTATATCTATTCTACATAGAAGATATAGTATCACATTAAAATAATTGTACTAACACATATGGTTTTATTGTCTGTGTATCTAAATTCAATACTAAGTACGGGTCCGCAATGAACATGAAGCCAGGCCTGTTGGTCCGTCGTGGTAAATTTCCCAGAATAATTACTATGAATCGGGTATAATACCAATAATACGTGAGTCTAACTACAATAATATTGATATGGAACCACTAATGCTTATTACTAACAATTTATTATTACTAACAATACTTCAAATTGTGGTAACATGTGCAATTTTGCAGGTTTACTCCAGAAAGAGAACCAGAAGTCCGTCCTCAAATTAAATCGGCCAAAAGTCGATTAGGTGAACTGCCTGAACCACAGAAGAGAAGCTCTGTTTCTGAAAATACTTCTGATAAAACAGAATTAAGCTCGAAGAGGTTGACTTCAAAGTGAGCATACTTTATTATTTATAATTACTGACGGCCTTGAGGTCTAAAAATAAATATGCTAATAATAATAATAAATATGGTAAATTGCTAGACCACCGAGGCCGTAAGTAATACAAGTTCGATTCCTCGCATGGTGCAAACATTTGTGTTCATGAGTATGACTGTTCGTATCAGTCGGGGTGTTTTCTGTGTAGTTACAAAAAATAATATTTTAGTATGTTTATCACTTGTTTAGTATCCATAACAAGTACATTCTATTATTAATAATACAGTATTTTAATTATTGATTATTTATATCTTCCAAATTTCGACATCTATGTACAGTACTTCTGAAATCACAACTACTTAATCAAGTTTTTAGCTTTTAACCATTCCATTATCATGAAATTAAAAATAACTTACCATCAGGTGTGTTGCAAGCTCGTTTGTCCCCTATGATATAAAAAACTTAAGATGAAATAATGTATACAGGGTGTCGGTGTTAGAAAGCAGGCCGCGTGCGAGTTGCGCGAGTGTAGTGCGTGTGCGTCCTCGACCACGTGGCACCGCGCCTGCACCCGCGCTTCTGCTTCGCGCCGTAGCAGATGCCCACAAAAGCCTACTCAATGTGAGTATAGTTGATAAAATTTACACAAAACACGCACATTAGAAAATTACAAACTAAATATATATATAACAAACTATTAGATATGTTATATGGTATTTTTGTATCTCTGCACGACCTGTGCTTGACTAGTAGAAAATACCGTAAGACGTTAAGTCAAGTCAAGGTAAAAATAAGCCATATGTACTTTTACCTTGATATTTTATGCATTAAAGTTATTTAAATAAATATAGGTACAAAATATTATTTAATGCAATTTGTTGAACATTATGTAAAACTACTTTTATTCTATAAAATTACGCGGTATAAAGCCATGCGACTCCAGATACAATGAGTTAGCAATAAAAATGGTGACAAATGCAAGCTATGAAAATGCTATATGCGACTGTAAAGAAGTTGATATAGAGTAGTTTTTCGGTTGCTACAATGCCCAATAAGTATTCTTACCTAATAACTTATCATATGGTAAGAACACTTCAAGCGGGACCTGTTACCCAATGTCGATATGAACTAGCCGTGTCGCATTATTGACTAGATTAATGTTCTACCTAACTAATGCTACAACATTTATATACCTATAGATATTCCATCCCATTATATCAAAAATGTGTAATCATCACAAAATTGGTTATGAAACTCAACAGATACCCCCTAAAGTGGACCCGGAAGCGAAAAAAGTGAAACGAGCGCTAGTGCGGCCCATGCGTCGATGCGTAGACGCGCAGAAAATTGTTATTCAGGTGCCTGGAGGCAACTCTCAAACGGACACGAATGATAATATTAGTTTTGGTGATATGGACAGCGAAGATGACAAGTAAGTGAACCACTACACTGTTTAATGCGTTTATATATCAAGCAGTTTCTGAAGTACTTAATGAATTTATATTATTTTGTTTATTTCCGCTACAATTGGCTTATGTGAGATCACAAATATTCAGTGCAGAAACTTAACTACTGTTACGAACCCCTCTAATGGCGACCAAACCGCGACTCTCAACTCGACGCCGAACAGTCAACACTAGGCTTCCAAGCTATATCCGAACTCTATTCTATGCCTGATGATGCCTCGTTCAGAGACGGAACATGGGTGTAGATTCAATAACGGAATTTGATCACCATTAGAGAAACTCGTAACGGTAGTCGAGTTTCCGCACAGAATATTTGTTATCTCACACATTCCAATTATAACGGAATTAAACTAATAATATAATTTCATTAAGTAGTGAAATGGACTTTACACAATAACACCTAATTCGATTAAATATAGTTTCTAAAGTATTTATTGAGAGTGAAATTACAGGGCCCTCCCCTTATTATGTCGCATAATATAGATAGAAGTATAAAATCTTTCACGCAAAAACCACTAAACAAATTCAAATAAATGTAAGGCTGCCCGATAGAACCAATTGGACGAATTATACAAAATTAATCTTATTTTGATTTATTAAAGCAAATTATTAAACCTCCTTTGTGGTATGTATTTCAAGGTATAATATTTTAAAATTTCAGAACAACGAGTGACGGAGATAAAGATGAGTATGTACCACCAACAATAACAAAGAAAATCATCAACAATGATTACGTGCCATCATCAATGGAGGGGAGACTGGACAAAAGGCCAGACGAGGGCATTGTTATAGACAGCTTGTAAGTATTTTTTTATTTATTACATCATAAAACTAGATCTATAATAGTATGGTTTGATATTACATTAATACGATAAACTGTACCAGATTTAGAGCACGAATTCCTTAATTGTGACACAAAATCAATTTTTATATTAATAAAAAAACAATCCATTTGTTTGCATTTCTAATTACCAAAATATGGTCGCAAATCCATACGTACATTAAAAAAAAGTAGAAATTTGTCTCTCAATATATCTTTGTCATCATCTAGACAGAAGTAGATAGAACACAGCACAATATTGAGATAGAAAGCTACCGGGGGGGAGGGGGGGGAGGTATTGTTAACAATGGGAACCAGTAACCCCACAATAGATCTGACATAACATTGTTTTATGTCAGGTTATACAGTCGCCTCTGGAAACCATCCTGGTCTATTGACAATGATGTGTTGACTGATCAAACACCATCCTCCACTGGTGCTCTGCTAACGTACCGTTACCGTACCGTTAGCGCATACACATGCAACATACCATATTTATCCATCAACAAAAATACGTACACAATCAGCCGAAATTCATTAATATACATTCTAGAATATTCATGAAGTTGAAGCTCCTTTACCAAGAAACGAAGCAATCTTGATTTTAAGCTATTCATACTAAATTCACCGTTCACCCGACAATATTTTTGTATGAAAATTTCAAAAATATTTTGAAGCTTCTTTTGGCCGGTTCATTATTATAAATACTATCGTTGGCTTAGCTTGGGTCTTACTACTCACCATGTGTAATAGGCTCCTGTGTAGCATGGTAGTGTGATATCTATATAACTTTAATGCACAAACATACGAAAATATGCATGTGGAGGTAAAAAATTATCAAATAAGACAATGTAGTCTGTTTTCATAGAATTATCATATTTTCTTTTAATATTTCAGTAACATTCATAACCCAACAGTTGGGAAAGACAAAAACACACAATTCATAGTCACAATGGACGGCTACCATCCAAATGCTTTTCTCGCCAAGAAATTAATGACAGAAGGCCTGCTAAATGATGAAGATGATGCAAACAAGACCAAAGAAACTCCAACTGCGCTAGAAAGTCCAATAGAAGAGAAACCTAAAGAATCTGATACAACGGAAGATAGAACGGAACAGAAATCTTCGCCGAAAAATAACTTAAGTGAGACTGTAAATGAAAGTGAATCACCTATTAAAATTAAGATAGAAGATGAAAAACCCACTGAAAAGCGTAAAAGCAGTGACACGCTCGCGCCTGTCAAACAAGACACACCTCCAATTAAGAAAAGAAAAGGATCTCCAATTGTGTTCGATGTCATAAAGAAAGAGAAGGAAGTGGAACGAGTGAGGGAGAGAACAGAAAGTGCTAGTAGTGATAACCATGTAACAGTAACAACAACTGTTAATGCGCATAAATATGATGCACTACCACCTTGTAAGTATGATTACACAATATATATATCTTATATATAAAATTCTCGTGTTTGTTACCATAAATCCCTCCGAAGTGACTCGAATTTGTGTAATTTTATATGCATATACAGAGAGTCTGAGAATTGGATACTACCTATTTTTCACATACTTAAGTAATAAGGGTTGTCCACACCTAACAATTTGTTTTTTATTTTGTTGGACAAAAATCTTTAAAAAATACATACAACCCTAAATATGCACCGTTCTTTTACCAACCCCTATTTTTTAGTAGAGATTTTAATTTATACGGCAAAACAACGTTTCCGGAGTCAGCTATGTATCTGCCTGCCTATATGTCTTCTGCTGAAACGAAATTGTCATCTTTGTAACTAACGTAATAAATAAATGTAATGTTTAGTTGATCATTTAAATGAATGTCCATTAATTTAAATGTTTCTAATAATTCTAAATTTTTATACCTCTTTATTATAATCTTATAATAGGTTTATTCTAGACTATATGTACCACCAATGTATCATAAATAAATAAATTAACTAAAAATATAACTTTCTATATTTAAAGCTATGTTGTGGCCAAAGAAAGTAACCATTATCTTAAGACAACTACTGAGGTGTAGCGATTTAGCACACCGACTTACATCCTATGGTTGGTTTGATTTTGACTATGCTGGTATTAGTCTAGGTGTTATCTATGTATATTATGTATGTATTTACATAAAAAAAAGGAAGTGTTATCTCTAGCTTTTAAATACCCATAATGCAAGCTATGCTTAGCTAATGCTATGTGACTTATTCAAGATTATTATATTATTTTGCAGTATCCCAACCAGAGCGCAAACCAGTCTGGTGCCGTGCGTTCCCACTATGTCGTTACGGAGCCGCGTGTGTTTTCCAACATCCGCGCTGTAAATTCGCAGCTGCTTGCACACGACGCGGTTGTCTGTACTCGCACGCGCTGAATGCACCGCTGCAGCCGCTACACGCGCCAGTGTCGCCCGTCCTCGGTCAGTATCTTTTATAAGAACGTATATGAAATTGTGCACCTGCCTATGCTAAGGATATGCGCTGGCGGGGCACGAGTGGAGGATTAGGAGGGATGATTTGACTTCATAAGTCAAATCTGATTGCACATCATGGGAATTCAACAGCAATTAACCATAATAAATCTGCTGTATCTCATTAATAATAATTCCCCCAGACCAACTTATTCATAAACGTTTAAACATCCAACAATCAATTTAAATTATCTCAGTGTTTCGATAATTAAGGAGAACTTAATGAGTACTGGTCAGATCTTGATAAAATTAGTGTAGAGTCAACAAGAAACACCAGTTGTCAAATAGTTACCGCTAGACCACCGAGAGGCGATATCATGCCTTCATGCCCTGTAATTTTACTGCCCACAGAAGTATCTAGAATTATATTTTTCACTGAACTAATTTAAATTTATTTGCAGCATCGCATGTTGTTCCCGCTGCGAACTTCAAGACCATATCACCAGGGGTCGTGCCCAGCTTCTGCAAATACCACCCGAACTGTACGAACCCAGCCTGCCATTTCTACCATCCTAAGCCCTGCCGCTATGGCAAAGGTTGTAACAATAAATCAGAATGTAATTTCTATCACAGCGATTTACCCGCTGGCAAATGGCGGTATCCTGCCTAATACTATTATTACTATATTAGAAATGAATATGAATTATATGCGATTGTATAAAGGTTGATTATGTTAAGTTTTTAAAATAGATGTGTATCGTAAATTATTTGTGATTTTAATTATAGCTACAATTAATAACGTTAGTTTAGTTATCTACTAAATATAAATGCGAAGTTGTGAATCTTAATGAAATTTTAATGTTAAGATTGTACCACGACGACGTACATCTTTTATCTCTAAGAAAACGAATTAAGTCATGGGAAACAACTAGTATAAATTTATAGTTGAATTAGATTAAAGTAGTTTAATTAGCAAATATAATAACACTAATTGGCGATGCCTGCGTTTAGAACATTTAAATACTTTTTTTTTTTATTGGTGAGTTTGGTCTATTGACAGTTTTTTTTATGGATGATAATGGAATGCTGCACCCGCCTGCGCTAACGGTTTACGCTGGCGGGGCATCAGTGGAGGATGATAAGATGAACATGAGGTCAGGTCGGTTAGCACATCGTGACAAATTAACCAAGAATTTATCACGATGGTTTCCAGGGGGAACCGCGTGGAGGGCAACTTGACATGGTACAATGCTAGTATTGGGGTTATGAGTCCACATTACTAACAATCCCCTTCTCCCCCGGCTATTGTCAGTTGCTTGGACCTGTAGCACTGCGACCTATATAGATCTATTGTGATCGGGACAAGAATTGAAGGATATTCATAGGAGCGAAAACATTTATATGCAAAGTTTCATTTAAATCCATACTTGGGATCGTAAATAGCCATTAGGCATAGTTTAAAAGTAAAATTAATAATTTTAAATATGGAACGTCGAAAGAGTTGTGATACTGTTTTGTTTCTGTAGTAAAAGTTAAGTGTTGTGTTATATGCGATTTAAATTAATTGTACTGCATAATCTATTAATTATATGCACATTTTTGTACATGTTATGGCGTCACAATTAAATGCATAAAGTGCGCAATACAATTAAATAATATTTTTTATATTCCCCCAACTATCAGTGTACCTTTAATTACAGTAGTCGCATCCAGTATAAAGAAACAAATGCTGTGTAAATTCAATTTAATTTGGTAATCAAATATGACAATCATGGGCTATTTAATCATTTTGAATAAATAAACATCTTTACAAACTACCAAACTAAGCCGAGGTCAGCGCTTCTTTTTATAGAAATTATATTGACCAAGTCAATTCACACAGTGCCATATAGTTCTAAGCAGAGCTGATACTGATTTAATTTGCACAATACGAGGAATTGAACCCGCGGCCATCGAAAGTAAAGCTGTGTGCTAAACAGCTAGATCAATCAGACAGAACTCAATCTATTCCGTCACACAATAAATTCTATTACTGCGGTCATAACTCAAATGGAAATCTAAACAAGAAAAAAGTTTTTCAGGATTATTGACACAACATGTAGTACCAAGTCAAACAGAGGTTGTGTTATTGGTACTAGACAACTAATATAAATACATAGAAAACACCCAGACGTGAATACAAATTTTCGTACCGTACGAAGAATCGAACCCGCGACCATCAGAAGACGGTATGCTAAACCGCTATACTACGGATACCATCAAATAAAATACGTTAGTTGAATTATATGACGGTGCCAATATTTAGAAAGCGTGCTATTAAAAATGCTCTTTACAATAGGCCCCCTAAATATTATATCCTAAATTCATTACAAACCCAAAAGGATATGTTTTACCTTTTTTATACTAGAGAACGTATACCGATAACACAATCGCTATATTTATATGAGACGCTATAAAACAAAACTTCAAAAAAATGATCTGTTTATCAACCTATAAGTGTTCGATATGATTTTTTGTGCAATGATATCATGAATTGTTATTTGAATAATTACAAGGGCAAGAGTCAGGACTAATTAGCTTAATTTATATGATTCACTATTCATTTTAATAACAATGAACTGTACTTACATAGAAATATCTAAAAAATCCATGTATTTTTTTAATTTCCATTTGACTTCATTATATTATGAAACTTATACATATTTTGTCGCTGAACAGTGCTTATAAAAATATATCTATTTAGATGTTTTAATTTAATAAAATCATTGACACATACATTTGTATTCATAAGTATGAATACAAGTGTGTGCACAATGCAAGTATTTGTATTCATGAGTGTTGTGTTTGTATAGGTCTGGTTGTATTGTATATAGTTATATTAATTGCAACACGGAGCATATGCCCCGGGCGGCAAATTCGGCGGATGAATTATGTATTCATCATTTTTGACGCACCTTTGACAATTTGACCACTGACAGCTGGAGGTCAAGTTAACTGTTTGTGTTCAATGCATTTAAATGTGAAAATATAACTGTTAAAAGCTACAATAATTAACAATAATAATACTAATTCGACAAATTGTATGTTAATATGTATATTGCAAAAATGTTAACCGGATGGAGAGGACGGGCTTGTGTTAGGAGGGCGGCATTTTTTAGTTTTTGCCCCGCCTCGAAAAAAATTAAGATCGGGGTTGTTATTGGTTATTTGATACAGTGTGTCTGTCTGTTTATTACCAATTACGTTTCGATTAATTATGTTACGAAAGTACCTACCTACATTGGTTTCTTTTGCCTTTTGCCGCCTGCGCTAACGGTTTACGCTAGCGGGGCACCAGTGGAGAATAATAAGACGAGCATGAGGACAGATCAGTTAGCCCATCGTGACAAATTCACCAAGAATATATTTATTATTGTTTTTACAATGGTTTCCAGGGGGAACCGCGTGGAGGTGAACCGGACATGATACATTGCTAGCAATAACATCATCAGTCTACCTTACTCACAATCCCCTTTCGCCCCAACGGACATAGGTTATCTTTGTCCTCAAGAAAGCAGACCAAGTCGCGGGTACCATTTAGTTTATAATATTAATTAGTTTTTATTATTCAATCCGGGCGACGTAAGATAGGGTAATCAGTTCATATGATATCTCAGTAGGTAAATGGCCCAAATATAAGAACTGATACACTTGTCGAAATTATCGTAATCATTCACTTGTGGCGGCATCCTGCCTGTTACATCGATAGCGGGTCACAATATAATAATGTGCTTCAAACCGACACCTACACGCCGGCACCCCATCCTTTCATTTACACTCGGTGCGTTCTGAAAGGATCACATGACCTGGAAGAGATACGTGCACCCGTGTGCTAACAACACCCAAATTTAACAAGTAAGTAATATTTTATAATGGACTAAACGAAATATTAATAATCTGTGAAGTTTTAAAGTAACTTTACGCAGAGATTGACTTTGTAAAAATTCGTCTACATGGGTCAGTCTCATCTATTTCATACACTAAACTCTTCTTTTTGGAAAATCACTATTAACATACAAGATTTGATTTTGATCACAAAATAACTGTTAGGTATTAGGTACAGTTAGGAAGTAAAATATCGAGCTCCTAAACTCCAAAATGTAGGTGAAAAGGAATTTCATTCTAGGGATCCTATCCTATCCATCCTAAGTTTTGGCGCTACTTAACGTCATTTTAGGGGTTAAACTGACGTTAAGTGGCCCCTAAACTTAGGTAGCTGTTGTCGGATATAAGTATAAGCAGCTTGCTTTGTAAGACGTTTGGTTGAAGGGTGAAATGAGGCAGTGAAATTATAAGACGTCCTCTGGAATGGAAATGCATGAGTGGTATTACTGACATCTTATTTTTTTTATTAGGTAACTAAACCAGGTACCTACCCTGATTTATCTACACTTTGTACGGATAGCAAAAACTCTGCAATAATTACAAAATTATTGTAGAGTTTTTACATTTTTTTAATTCATTACAGTAGAAAAGAACTAGGTATTTTAAGGTTAACTTAGTAATATTTTATTAAATTTATTATTTTATAATTCAGTCATGTAATAATGTCTAGAAGTCAGTAATTTATTTAAAAATAGTACCTAATAGTTATCAATCTGAGGGCCTAACAGATAGTTTAACTGTAATAAAAAGTATGAATAATACTGATATCTCATATATATATTATATAAATTAATGTTGACATTATTCGAAGCCGTGATTAGTTTATGAAAAACGCAAAACACTGAATACCTACATTCAGTACTTTGCGAAAATTTAATATGAAAATGGCTAAAGCATTATCTATCACAATTGCCATCAATCATTAATGTCTGCACGATGTAACATGGTGCGGTTGTCGGAAGGGGAAGCGGGGATGGGGATTTTTTAATGGTTTTTATGGTCTCCAGCTGGAATTGCGTGGTGGTAGACCTAACATGGTAAATTTGTAGCTAAATTGGTAAATAACGAGTGCCTATTCCCCGTTACTAATAATCCGTCCGGAGATCGGGACCAGAGGTACATTCTTAGTAATGGGGAAATGAAATAATGGTACATTGTTAGCGATAGGGAAAAGAAATAAGACCGACCTCCACGCGGTGTAATAAAATATTCAAAAATCAAAGCGAGACAAAATTCAAATCTGACCTCTTACATTCAAGGTAACTAGGCTACCACAAGTAATTCATATCTACCATATTTTTTTAATCTTGATTAAGAATTTTGCGTTGTCAAAATATCCGCCGAAAATAATATTTCAAGCTTTGTTTATCAAATACTTATCTCTAATTGCTCGCTACATTCAATCGTGCAAAATTCACCGCACTACCTACACAGTTAAATTATTTTTTCTATACATCGAGCGACCTCAAACGAATTAACAAAATGAACCTAAACGCACAACAATAGAGATAGATTTGTATTACCAACTTCCGAATTTAATTATCCTTTTTCGCTTACTATGAAAGTGGATACAGCTGATAACCGACAGATCAATGTCATATCCGACACGAGACGACACTAAGATAAACCGGATAAACAAAGTCATTGTGTCAATGACACGCCTATAATCTAGGTAATAGGAAGTAAGTTATAGAGTAGAATTTACCTTGCACGACTTAATCGGGGGAATGATAAACAGTTTTGAGGGAATCAGAGAGTACCTATAATTGCGCTCGAATGATTTTGATATTTTTGACATATTACTTGAGTACATGACCCCGAGAACATTGTTTTACCAAATAAATTACAATCGCCAATTAAAAATACGGATTGGTATTTTTAAATGACATTTTTTTATTTTCTTATACCACATTATAAGAAAATAAAAAAATGTCAAAAAAATAAAAATTAAATGTTGGAGTGGACAACACTTTGTGGTATGAAAAATAGATAGTAGCCGATTCTCAGAGCTACTTAATATGCATATAAAATTTCATAAAAATCGCTCAAGCCGTTGCGGAGGAGTATGGAATAATAATAATATATATAGAATAGGAAATCCTTTGTTCAAATAATTCAAGCCCTTTTGAATAGTCATCACATTTTTTTTAACCGCTCATTCGGAAAGCTGTCTCATTACAAGAAGAAAGAGCAAGAAACTTGTGTGTTGCTCTTTTAAATAATCGTTGTAAATTTACATTTTTTAATCAAAATGTGTGATTACATCAGTTGTAGTGATTAGAGAAGACCAGTCCCTACACCCACCTGTTCAAGAGTATGACGTATGAGCCAGCCATTACTGCACTCGACCATATTTTAGGGAGCCCAAGGAGCCAATGAGACTAAAATTTTATACTGCAATCTTCTTTTGTTTCGTTCGATACAGAATTTTATTCGGTCATACTATTTTCCGAAGTGGACTGTACAGGTCAGCATTACTTCTATTTTGCGCAGAGCAGTTGTTGATGGATGAGATAAGCCTATGAAATTGCAGAATACGAAGGCATACATCGTAGTCCTTCTGGATGCAATGCACGAGGGCTGGCAATGCAACGGTTCGTCAATAGCGGCATTTAGATTACGTTCTATATATTCAGTGAAACATGCCTTTTTCATAATGCTTGTTATATATATATATATTATACACTTTTTTTTATTATATGTATATGTA